GTCTTTAAAATCTTCTGCTTATGACAATTTATTAGCAGTTCCAAACTAACTTACAGACTGTTCAAGTTTGCTTTCTCATATTTCACAATGAATGCATTAAATCTAAAAATTCAATAAAATAAAAATTATTAACCTCCATGATATTTTTTAATATTTGACATTAAATGTGACAGCAACAATGTGCATGCTGTCTGTCTGTCTTTTTGCTAACAGTCCTCAGTTTTCAAGATATCATATTTGATGTGTTTGTAGCATGAACGTATTCGCTGGAACGTTCAAGACAATTTACTACACAGCAAAAGCAAGACACGAGTAGGCAAAGTTCGTTGTGTTACTCATGCATGAGGGAGACCGAACCGGAGCCAGATGTCGTTCTGCCCACTTGGCCTCCGTCGGACTCTCAGCCAGGTTCCCCATAACACTCCTTTTATTGTGGTTACATGAATATGCATAGGTTCATTAACATATGACGTTTAATAGGTATACATGTGGACAAAGAATACCTTGTCTCTGTGTGTGTGTGTGTGTGGTGGGGGGGGGGGGGGGGTCAGTGTGTGACCCCATAAATGACTTCCCTAAACCTGCTGGTTTGGAAGTCCAGCAGTTCATCCAAACAGAAGGCACTTAGCCTAAAACTGACATAGCTACGTTTATCCTACCATAAAACAATAAGACAAGGTATGCCCTCTCCCATGCTCCCAGGATGTGGGTGTGAATGCCAGAACACTCTGGAATGCACACAATGCCTTTGCAGACTGCTAAAGATCACACATCCTATCACTACACAATCGATTATACACCTCTAAGCATATATGGTTAAATATTTCCTAATACAAATGACAATAATAAAATCTAAACCCATCAATATTCAAAATGTGTTGTGTGATCTAGATAACAGTAGCAACTGTAACTGATTTGGAGTTTGGTGAAAATCAAGTAAGGGTCACTCAAAATGTAAAAAATCATTAAAAACTTTATATTACCCACAAATATTTTATGGATTGGCTCGGGGGGACACGAGTACCTGAGCTGGCTAAGCATTTGACGTTGACCCTTATTGTTGGCACCCAAGGTCAAAGTTGATCTTGCAAAATATTTTAAAGAAAAATGTTTGAGTAATATATCATGTAAAGGGTCAAGAGGAACACTTGTTTTTCAATGCAATGCTCTACAACATTACAATGATGTCATAATGTTTCACAAAATCACACACTGCTTGAGTACATTTTAAAATCTCAAATTTTTCAGCTTGTAGAAGTCAATGATTTCAGGCAATTCTGCTCCAAAGACATTAAAAATGCATTTCTCTACAGTGTTTTATGATGACTGTTATTAGTCCATTAGTGCTTTTGTTTCTGACTGAAATAAAGGACTGAATAAAAAAGTAATTGAGAGAAATCTGACCCAAAATGTCTGATCCTAATACTAAGTTCTAGTCTTGATTTCCTTTGGCTGTGTTTGTAAAAGGAGCAAATGCACTTGACATGGGTGAGCAATTGCAGTTAGAGGAAAGGTCCGAGTACAAGTGAGTGACAGTGGTGTGAAGAGGGCATGCTCTTTGAGGAAGTGGTTCAATTCTCAGGGTTGTGGTTTTTTTTTTTGAGCCACCTCCACGGGACAAGACTCAGCAGTTCATCTGAAATAAAGGGCAAAGGTCACTCTTTCGAGGATGCCAACGTTCAGATTTTGGACAGAGAGGACAGATGGTTTGAAAGAGGAGTGAAAGAAGGCATCTATGTCCACTGTGAGCAACCATCTTTGAACAGAGGCGGTGGTTTACGACACCAACTATCTGCCATCTATAATCCCTTCCCAAACGTGTTAACGCCCACTCACATCCTGGGCCATCTGACCTCAGGAAATCACATGATAGGGTGGGGCCAGGTTTCACAATGAGCTCACCCGGAACCCTGGCTGATTGTGACCCACACCCGCTTTCACACCTTGGCTCAGGCGATTAGAGGATCATCAGGGGGTCCTTTGTCCCTCTGTGGGGGGATACTCCCACTAGGTTTAAATCTGGGACTCTCCAGCATTTGACCCTTAGAACTGAAGAAGCTTCTCGGATGAGAGGTGAAACGTCTTCAAGCACCTCAAAGAAGTCCAGACGCTTTTCTTTCCAAGCTCCTTAGACTACGATGACCTGGATGATTGAGAACCTTCACACACAAAACAAGTGGTAATATCTTGTGTATCCACTAGGGGGAGCAGTGTGGAGGCACATTCATTTAAAGGCTCGCTACACCATTTTTATATCATATTATATCACACCATATTTATATGTTTTAAATTTGTTCAGGGATTTTATAATTAGGGCAGATTCAACCTTTCTATCAAATATTAATATAGATATGTGTTTGCAGCAAATAAAAAACCGGTCAGTGATTATTACTGCCTTGCGTTTATGGAAATGAAAGCATGATTGTTTCATTGCACTGCTAATGTTCTTAGATAAAATGCAAAATCAAAATTTAAATGTGCTCCAATTGCACAACAACTATACAATCAGTGCCCCCTGCCCCCACAGAAGACAATTTTTTTTCTCACTATGCAAGGAGATTATTAACAGCTGATACCTGTTTTATACATTTTCTATACCGTTTCTTGGGATTTTGCAATCAAGTTGCGGACTTCAAGGCCTGATTGTCAGCTGGCAGCTGGCTGTCAGTTAACAGCCAACTGACCTCTGGTTGAAAGTGACAATTTTGAATGACTGCATCTGTAGAGCCACCCGTCATTCATTATATTTTCAAACAAACCTAGACAGGAATGTTAAAACTGCTAAACTCAAGGTATTGTAAACTTGTGACATCAAAACTGCAAAGTCAGTGTTTTATACAGACAGCAGACAAACCCAAGAGTAGAAAACATTCAGAATGCTTTTTGAGCAGTCTGAAGTCGAAGCTTGTAGATCATGTGATATTATAGACACCAACCTCATTATTTGTAATTCTGTCCATGTTAAATATATATATAAATAACATACTATTGCAAGAGTTTATATAACTGCAGATAAGAAAGACGTATATTTGTCGTATAATGTCATATAATTGTTTTTTCTCCCCTGATCTGCTGGCACAGGGCCAACAAGGACATCACTGGTGACACACCATCTCCTGCTCCACGTTGCTCTCCTCCTTCTGTCCATCGTTCCAACCGAAACTAAGGTAGTGAAATCAATGTCAGAATGTGACAGTTTCTTTCTTAACAAAAATTCACCAAACATCACAAAGATTTTAGAGGAAAGCATCATCCTGGAACAGGCCAGATACAAAGTGATTTGCGAGTTTTTAAATGGCACCACTACATTTGTGACGCTCTACAACACCCGCAACAAGATTCCAGTTTTTTCTGCTGCAAAGTTCAGAGGGGAAAAATGTGGGAAACCCAGTTACAAATGGATGATTGAACCAGAGGTATAATAATTGTCATAAATAATAATAATAATTTAAAATTTAAAAAAAAAAAACAGACCACATTATCAGATATTACAAGTGCAGGTAACAACCTAAGCGGACCTGTAATTAGGTTTTAAACAACACAATTTTCTGGAAACAGTTAGTATATTTCATCACAACAGTACAACAACATCAATATTGTACTCTTTCCATTTACACAGCTTGAAAACAATGAAGACATGAGAGAAGAAACAAGTTTCAGCTTGAAGAATCAGGCTAGTAACATTGATTATGCCTATAGCAGTGGGTTTACCAAAGGACAGTTATTTCCAAGTACTTATGGATTTACTGAAATTCAAAGAAGATCTACTTTTACCCTGATCATGTTATTTCACAAAATGCTTCATTCAACAGGAGGACCTGGAAGAGAGTGGAGAACTGCATTAAATGTGTTATGAATAACTACTGCAGTAACAACAGCTATACAGAAGCCTTTGTAGTGACGGAAGCACAGCCCAGCCACAAGAAACCCATAACAAAAGGATCAATATTCCACATAGGCTGTGGTCGGCATTCTGCTGCTACAGTGATTGGCTGAAAAATGGCTGGCAAGTGCACACTGGGGCCGAAACAATGAATATAACGAAGATTACACACAGACTAAGACTTTGGAAAGCCTCCGTATAAAAGTGGGAATCGAAGCATTCGATGAAAGACAATGTCCTGGAGAAACAACTGTCACTGAGCTCTACCCACAACTTTCCCGATTGCAACTGTCCATAAAAACATAAATGTATAAACTACTGAGGGCTGAGATCTATCATCAGTTTTAGACATTTATACATGTTGTGATGAATATGAATAATGTTTATTGATTTGATTCAGTTTGTAATTGCTTCTTTGCATCAGGCTTCATGACATCAAATAAAGATACAGCATATTAACCTTTGTGTAAATCTGGTGTTATCAGAAACATTTTTGGTAAATGGAAGGAAACCATTCATGTTAATTTAAGCTGCTTAAATACAAAACTTTTGTTTGAGTGGTGACAGCTATCATAAATATCAGAACAGACAGAGGTAAACACTGGAAACACAAGAACCATCAAAATAAACAAACAGTATGAAAACAGAAACCAATTAACATAAAAGACAAACTGGAGTAGGATAAAGAGACTAAAACAATTTCTAATAATTAGATTTTGATTAAACATGAAGGCTCCCTGTCTGGTTCTTGGTCCCCAACAGAGACACCACCATTAAAAAAGAAACCTTGGACTCCCCTGTGATTCGACCACAAATAATACATGTATTTGTTTCAGCTTTGTTACGTTTAAAGACCATGTGTTTTTTAAGATGCATGATGACACTCAAAATCGACTGACTCAACATTTCCACTTTGGTAGGCAACCAACAGTTTTCTGATCACAAGAAATCAGGCTACAACAACAGTTACACATGACATAAAGGTTAAGAACTATCATATAACAAAGCACAAAGGCAACTTTAAATCTCCCTAAAAAAACATCTGAAGCTGTATTACAAAGCGCACTCATATTTTTTGCATGAGTCGTTTTAGCATTAGTGAACAGTGAGTATTTTTTGGCAGCAGAATGGTCAATGAAGTATTTTGACAAAATACTCTAAGAGCTCAGAGGAACAAATGAACATGTTAGCCATTACAATTTCTTTAATTTCATTTCAAAATAAATTCTTCAAATGTTTGAGAAACAAACTGATCTTTGTGGCTGCTGTAGATTCACAGCAGCAGCACCATCACCACGGCCAGAGAGACAGAAACCCTCAACACAGGAAGTGAGTCATGCAGAAGAGGGGAGTGAAAAGGTTCAGGCTGCCCACCTTCAACACAGGAAATAAAGAAAGATATAGTTTGGTCTCGATACAAATACAGCAATAGCTATGTGGTTGGCTTTTAGCTGAGCTTAGTAGAGAGAGCACATCTGAAATATTTGCTTAAAAGTCCTAACATCATCTCACCTCTGACAGACAGCCAGCTGTATGGTGATTCTCCAGTACCAGAGACATTACACTTGTAGGAACCTTCATCAGACTTTGAAATCTTTGGGATAGTCATGACTCCCGTAGAGCTGTGCCCAATGAGGAGGTTATCTTTATAAAATTCAGCTGTGAGGTTGGATAAAGAAGTCTCCCTATATGTGCAATGCAGAGTGACGGCATCGCCCTCCTGCAGATGATGGACCGGACTCTCCAGAATCACTTTACCTCCTATATGAAAAAATAAATATTTAGAGCTTTAAAGGTGCACTTTTGAAAAAAGAAATTCATGCAGCAGAGGTGGAGCCAAAACTTTCATAGAGCTTCTTGCGTAAGCCAAGACATATTGCAATCATATGGGCTAAAAGAAAAATGCCTTTCTTCAACCTCAACACCTTTCACGTTCGAAGGAATTCATTTCAACCACTTCAAGATGATAATGCTTTTAAAAGCTTTTAATTTCAATATACTTAGTAACCAATTTCCCCTGGAAAATAATTATTTGACCTATACTATTTTAAATGCTGCCTGTACTTTTAGCTTAATAACTGAGCTAACTAACATTTTTATTCATACCATACCATTACGTAATAATTATAATAGATTGCATTCATATAGCGGTTTTCTAGGCACCCAAAGCGCTTTACAATTCCACTATTCATTCACTCTCACATTCACACACTGGTGGAGACAAGCTACAGTTGTAGCCACAGCTGCCCTGGGGCAGACTGACAGAAGCGAGGCTGCCATATCGCGCCATCGGCCCCTCTGGCTAACACCAGTAGGCGGTAGGTGAAGGGTCTTGCCCAAGGACACAACGACCGGGACAGAGCTGTGGATTGAACCGGCAACCTTCCGGTTACAAGATGAGCAATATGATATTGCTCAATATCAATACATATCATATTGTACTATTAGCTAATTATTTCAACTTTCACAATTTTAGCAAATATTTAATTGCTTTTCTTTTTCAAGTATTCACTTTTCAAACACTATCTATCTATTGTAATCAATAGGGAATTTTTTGGAAGAGTATTTTCAATGCAGCTTGTGGGGATAGGTTAATTGGATAATCCAAATTGCCACTAGGTGTGAATGTGCGAGTGAATGTGAGTGTGAATGGTTGTCTGTCCCTGTGTGTTGGCCCTGCGACAGACTGGCGACCTGTCCAGGATGTACCCTGCCTCTCGCCCTATGACAGCTGGGATAGGCTCCAGCGCCCCCCGCGACCCTGAAAAGGATAAGCGGAAGCGAATGGATAGAGTATTTTCAATTACATAGTAAAGTAAATACATACTTTATACACAGTGGGCCAAAATTCAAAACTAGAACAAGGTCGCGGGCTAACATTAATATTTATTGAAAAATATCTTCCTCCAGATTTAAGAATGAATCTCTTCTTATGGACTCAAACAAGTTTTGCTGAAAAACTGAATGTGGAACAAGCAAAGCTTAATACTAAACAATGTATATATTAGCTGTATAATACCAGTAGGCCAGCTCTAATAGTAATTTGGTATGGCTTCGCGGGCCAAATGTAATTAGGCTGCGGGCCAAATTTGGCCCACTGGCCAGAGTGTGAGACCTATCTAATAGATGAAAAAATGTAAACATCATAGTCTATATATGGCTGTTATTAAATGGTTTAAATGCTTTTTTCCTGTTGAATTTAATGGTAATCCTCTGTAGTTTGTATAAACTCACCAGTAACAGTGATGTTGACAGCTTCAGTGCACGCTCCAGCTCCAGAATCACACCAGTACAACCCACTGTCTGAGGGGTAAGCATCTTGAAGGAAGCAGTGTGACTCATTTTTTGAACCCCAGTGTTTGGAACACTCATGATTTGTTTTTATAGATGTGTTTCTCTTTATTGTCCAATCAGAAGAGTTTTTATGCTCTCCACAGCTCAGTGTAACAGACTCATACAGGAAGAACTGAGATCTGTTGGGAAATATTCTCAGAGTGGCTGAAAGAAACAGAGAGGTGAGACAAGTTAGTTGTGTTTACAGAGCTGTATTTAAGGGCAGAACAATGAGGTGGGCACAGTTTAGTCTGGCCACCCTATGCATCCAAGGAAACACTGACAGGGGACTCCTCACAATTGAATTCAAATGGATATATGGATTTATATAGTATAACTCCCGACTATAGTATAACATTTTTGCTGTGCTGTTTTTCCATGAACAATTGTAACTGCCCACTTCGTTTGAGAAAATTTTATGAGTTTTACTGCTGATAATTGTTTTTTTTTTTCAGTTGTGTGTTGCATTAAAAAAGCTAATTAAAGGTGATGGTGTAGATATACAGCAGGAAGCTAGCACCATAAAACTCGGAAGCTTGAGGAAAACCCAGAACTTGTAACAGATCAGGGACAGCAAAGGATAAAGAGACTAAATAAACACACAGGCAGGTGACTAAGGAAGAGGAAACTGGTGGGAGCACATGTGACACTAATCACAGGAGGAGGCAAGTTAAAATAAAGACAATGCACATAGAGCAAGGGACTATTAAAATAATATAGAAAAGTAGCACAAAGAGAGACATAGACAAAATAAAAACAAACGTGGAAACATTACTGAGTGGGGAAACAGAAATAAATAAAATTCAAAACCCAGTAATAATAACAAGGGCTGCCTTTTTTATTTGAGAAAATCAAAAATGAACATGAACATGAAAACTTTTTAAAATGTTGTTACTTTTTTCTCTGACAGCTGTATTTTGGAACAAAGATGAAGCACTACCTCAAACAAATTAAATTTTACTGACCTTATACTAAATGTATTCTTGCCACCAAACATGATACTAAAACCCACAGCACTGACATTTCCTTCCTCTTTACACCTTTGCAGCTTCTGCATGCTACCCACAAAATAGTTGCATTACCTCCCACAAGGTTTCATTTTGAACACTGGAACATCTGGTTTTTCATCTGTGCAGATAAGTTTGTAGCTGTATTGATGCCATATAAAATTTATAAGATGAGTTTACACATTTTAAATTAATAAATACAAGTTACATGTACTGTATTGATTTCAACTAAATCAATCTACAATAAATCGACATGAAATATAGTACCTTGCATAGAGTACCTTTTTGTAATGTACCTATTATAAAAACCTGTAATAAAATACTCTATTATCAAACAAAAGCAGATGCCCACACAGAAACAAATCACAGACTTCACACACACATTTACAGTAGTACATACCAATAATAGTGCAGAGAGCAGTTATCTCCATGCTGCTTGGCAGGTGTTTGACCCACAGACAGTTTCAGGGGGGTTTGTTCACAACTCAGTGCTGACTGTGAAAAAGTCACTTGACCAAGATGTACGTCATCAATTTATTTTTTAAAACTGCAAGTGTCAAACACTTACATTCTCCACCATAAAGATATAAAGTATATCAAAGTGAAGTTATAGAATATTTAATCCTTCCTAAAATTTGAATCAAAAATATATAACTGATTATTTTTTTTCTTTTTTGAGAGTTTTGGGGAGTTTTTTTTTTAAATATAAAATTACATTAGATAGAGTGCAGTGTTCAGAGTACTTCAAAGTTTTTTGACATTTCTTTGTCTGATTTTTATCAATTACTGTCTTCCTCTATTCCGATTTGTGGAGTTTGTGCTGTTTTGCAATCACAGATTGCATAAGGGCAATGAATAATGTCAAAAAGCTCTACCTAAAATTTTGATACCCACTCATGTAAATGTGGTTTGCATATACTCAGACAACAACACAGTTTTTCTACTGTTGCTTCTATGCACCACCACAGTGGATTTTAATACATTAAAAAAACAGCATTACCACGGTGGAGAGGTTTGTGTGCCCAAGTGATCCCAGGCGCTATGCTGACCAGATAGTTTGCTTCTCCCACTGGTGGGGTCTTTCAAGGTAAATTGGTCCTCAGTGAAGGGTCAGACAAAGAGCAACTCAATTGACCTCTATAAGAGAGGAAAAAACAAGGGACCTGTGTAGCACTGCCTGGGATAGGTTTACTAAGGGCTTACCCTGGAGCCAGGCCTTGGAAGTGAGCTTCATAGAGAGTGCCCTGTGAGAAAATGTACATCAGTCCACTCTTCTGTAGGTCCACTACCAACTGGAGGAGCTGGTGGTCCAATCCCTGGATTTCAAGGCTTGCTATTAGGACATAGAAAATGACCTCTCTCATAGGGAGAGACACTGATATGGTTGGCCTCACCTTTTGCACAGATCAGACTTCTGGAGAGGGGATCGAGTTTGTACCAGTCTGGAGTTGCCCTCAGTAAGAAGAATGCTGTGTCTACATTAAGATTTTCTCAGTGGACTAGCGAGTGGTTCCCTGTGCCTTTCAATCAGGGAATGGGTCCTGTCTTTCATTTGTGCTTAGAACAAGTTCATAGTACCCAGCATTCTTGGGACCTGGGTGGGGTTCACAAGGGTGCTTCATCTGGTGACTCAGTTGTCTTACTGAAAGACATCAATGGCCATGTGGGACATGAGGAGCATGATGACGATTAACAGTCTACCTGATGTGAAATGTAATCCCGGTTGAAGGCTCTGCCTCCCATACTGTTTTTAAATATACTAAGAACCACAAGTGAGCAAGCAATCTGAGAGGTAAGTGCTCTATTGGGTGACATGGTTCTATGAGGTCTTTAAGATAATAAATAATTTCCCCTGGGGTTAAAAAATATTCTGATTCTGATGATAAGATGGGGCCTAAATATTAAAGACCTTGAATGTGACGAGAGAGATTTTAAGTTTGTTTCAGGATTTAACAGGACGCTAACACAGAAAACTCAATATAGGATAGATAAGAAGTCTGGTATTATTTGCATAGCAGTGAAAATGTATGCCATTCCACCTAATAATACTGCCTAAGGTAAGCACGTATAATGCAAAATGAATTGGTCCCAGCATATGAACCCTGTGGAACTCCATATTTAACCTTAGTGTGTGACTCCATTTACATGAAACAAATTGAAGTCTATCAGATAGATATGGGGGGCTGTTGCTCAGAACATGGAGCAGGTCACCTACTAATCAGAAGGTTGGTGGTTTATAGGTTGGTGGTTTGATATCTGTCTGCATACCAAATATCCTTGGTAAATAATGTAATAAAATATGGTGAACAGTAATGAACACTGCACTGAGGTCTAACAGGACAAGCACATCTCACACAGAGATGGGTCCACTGCCAGAGAACATAAGAAGATCATCTGTGACCTTCACTAATGCTACACCCAAGGCCTAGCAGCCTGTCCTGTCTGAAACTCTTTCTATCCCTCTTAGTTAACCCTTCACACTGTGAGGTTAATCAACTCTTTCATGGGCATACATTTCAAATAACATTAAATAATAAATAGATTCGATCTTAGAGAAGTACCTTCCTTTGGTGCTCTTACAGGCTTCTGATGATTTAACAAAGATTCACTTAGTATATCAAAAGACACCTGAAGTCTGCCATTTTCCATTTTTGCTCAGGTTTTCTACCCACCTGTCTTAGTTATCAGGTAGCATTGTTCAACCAAGACTGGGTTTCAGGTTTTAGACTCCTGGTTGTGAAAGGAGAAATGTAATCCAGGATTTCCAAGCAGGTTGAATTGAACGGAGAAAGCAAGTCATCGGGGGTCAAGCTGATGGACCTATTTAAAAGTAAGGCATAATTACAATTTTGATAAAACAATCAAAACGATCAGCTGTATCTGAGGCAATGATGTGAGGTCGGTATTTGGACACATCAGATATTTAGAAGTGATTAGAAGTCATAAACCAGAATCAGAATCAGAAACTTTATTGTCATTGTCATGAGAACAACGAAATTAAGAATGGTCCCCGATCATTGCATCATCCCTAGCAATATCAAAATATAAATAAAACAATAAAATTCAATAAATAAAATAGATAGAATACTTAAAATACTAATAAGATATAACAGTAAAACATTCACATACATTCCCACACACATGCTTCAGACCGTGCATAGATTAACACAAGAGTGGCGTGATGGACATTTTTTTGTAACCAGAAGAGTAGAGACCTTTTTGAAGAAAAAAAGATGTAAACAAAGTGACCACAAACAGAACAGGTAACAGATGACGGCAAACTACACACACAGGTGCCATCTTCACTCCAATTTCAGTAAACCACCTTGAAATTAGATTTACAGTGTAATTACACTCTTAGTTGTGGAGCAAATCATACAGTGTTTCCAGGTTTTTCATGGTTTTCTTTGAACACTGGCTGCTTTTTCACTTACTTTCAGTCCGGTTCTTGTATGTGGCCATTTTTACAGGAATGTTTGTCTCTTAAGCAACTTAACGCTGACCTATGAATCATTCAAGCATGAAAAGGGGATCTTACTCGAGGGATGAACCAGTATTGTGTCTAGACATGACAAACAGCTTCACAAAGAATCAGCTATTTTTAAACCAACAAGGTGATTTCCCAAAAGACTATTTAAAGTAACTCCCGGCATATTTTTAGCATGGTGTGCAGTGTGTAATTAAAAAATATCGAAAGCAGATAGAAAGTATCTGAAAGTAATATTGTCTGGCACATCAATACGAGCCACTGCCAGAAGGTTTTAACTGTCCCATAAGTATGGAGGAAATTCCAGGAGACATATCCTCTAGGACTCTAGGAGAACTGAACATTGCTATGTGGTCATTTACCCATCAGCACGACCAGTATCTGCTCCTTACTGGAAGCTTGAACAGCACGAGCACTGCCAGAGCTCCAAATGACCCTTAAGGAGGACACTGGTGTGAATTTTCCTGACCAGATAATCAGAAACAGACTTTATGAGTTCAGGTTGAGGGGCTGATGCCCTCTAGTGGGCCTGTGCTCACTGCCCACTGCCATATTGAGCCTGATTAGAATTTGGAATAATATCATAATGCCAGATTTAGCAGATCCACCAGTTTTACTTCAGCCCACACTAGGTTCATCATTTTCTTTTCCATTAACCAATCCTTTAGTTCCCAACACATTTCCCAGTCCACATGAGTGTGGATATCCAGCATGAATTTTCCACCTACTGAAATCTGATATTTTTCACAGTGTTTCTTTAACCTTTGAGCTGTGTACAATCACAGTTGGTTTTAGACCAGTAAAAGCTGACTGAGGCAATAAAGGTAAGAAACAGTCAACACCATACATAAATAGAGTGCAAAGAATTGAACATTTGCATAATTTATACAAGATATTCGATACTCTCTAACTTTCTCTCCTACCAGAGCTGTTCCTCTGATGTACTCCTTTCTGGTGAGTCCTGATTTTCACGCCTAAAAGAGTTTTTCCAGTAAGGTTTTGACAAAAACAAAAGAAAAAAAAAAAATGCCAAAAATAACATTTTGATGACTCAGTCTTTTAACTGACTATTGATTTATTGTCAATTGTGAACAAGGTTTAGTATTTTTTTTCTTTTTCTTTTTTGCACAGGTGAATCTGTGTTATGAAAAATAAAGTAAACAGGTTTAGATCGAAATGCCCACTAGGGGGCAGAACCGTATTGTATTTGAAAAAGTCCGCAGTCTGGAAGCGCTGACTATAGGTGGAGTTTTCAGAGATTGTAATTCGACCCTTAAAAGTGAAACTAGTTTGTATATTTGCTCTCATTAAAGTCTCCTGCCGTCTCATCCTTTCATCTTCTACTAGAAAAAATACTTCAGAACAGATTTTAATGTGACACATTTTCTCCTTGAGGTAAACAACGCAATGGGAAAAAAAAAGCTTTCTCATAAGGAGACTTTTGTGATGATGTCATGTTGACAAGATAGTTCCAAGACACGTGGATTGTTTCTTCTTATGTGGAGAAGCCTGAGCCAAACACGTGGGGGAGTTTTTTTTTTTTTTTTTAGGAAAGTACATAGCATTAATTTTGTGTTTTAAAGCTTTTGATGGTAAAATGGAAGAAGAGTTTTAAATGCAGTTTCTGAAAACTGGTGGGGAAAATAAAAGGCAAATATCAAACAGGAGGTGAGTTCATCATGAGTAAATTAGTGGGAAGTTCATATCTGCCCACGTTCTATAAACAGACCCACCCGTGACAAGTATATTAATGAATATTCACTCTGATTTGGAGACGTGAAAAGAAAAGGGTTGCAAGAGACTGACTTAGTCAAGTAATTCTGGAGTACTCTCATGAGATCAGGTACATTTTTCAATTAGTCAGCTCCCTCCGAAGCAGCAGAACAGGTTTATCATCACGCTGTTATCTACACTGCCAGCACATGCTGAAAAACAAAGACTGAGCACTCTGTCATCC